CTTACAAACAGTAATGTTTTCACCAAACTAGCTTGATGTTTCTGTATGAAATTCACCTCTCAGTATAGAGTCCTCCAACGTCACACATGGTGTATTTTTGCCTGCCTCTATCTGATGACAGGATTTGGGCCACTGAGTCCATAGGTGACTTGTTGTCTCAAGTTTCTTTGCTGTGGTGTCGACCCAGTTTCCTTCAGGATTAGTAAAGCTTGAGCTAATCTAATTTCATGAGTCAGACGAAGATCTAAAACTTCAAATCTGTAGCCTTCTGGTATCACTTATCCACACACTGTTAGCATGATACACTAACAAGTATCAAAAACTGATTATTAGACACAGAAGTAATGCACTTATACACAATCTGTGTTTGTTGAAGCTCTGTGTAGAATAGAATAGAATAGAATAGAATAGAACAGAACAGAACAGAACAGGCCTTTATTGTCCCGCGTGGGGAAATTCAGGTGTAGCAGCAGATACAGACATCAATCCACAGAAACAGTATATCGCTATGTGACATTATCAATTGGAGCAATAATTGTAGAAATTAAAGACAGTAACAGTAAAAAAAATAAACGTAGAACAAAATAAAAGTAAGAATAATCATTACTGTAACGAGCTATTAAGATGAAATTGGATAAAATGAAAATAAGGCAAGATACTGTACAGAAAAATATAAATTACAGGAATAAAACAGTCAGGACAGACTCATGATCTGAGGGGTGTGTGCAAAGTGAGTCAAGAGAGAAAATAAAAATTAAACTAAATAAACAGTTTCAAGTGGTTCTGCCTCGTTTCCTCTCAGGGTCTTCCAAAGACAGCAACTCTGGCGGTTCAGTGCGTCAGCTCCTTCGCAATAGATTTCTTCCTACAGACCCATCTTTACCACGCCGGTGTGCTCTGGCATCTGCTGTTTCATCTGTTCAACTACGACTACACGCTGGAGGAGAGCGGCGTGCAGGCCAGCCAGGACACAAACCAGCAGGAGGTCGCCAACAGCCTGGCTAAACTCAGCCTGGTGGCRCTCAGCCGTCTGGGAGGCTACCCTCAAACACCCAGCAACCCAGAGGGCAACAACCCTGTTTCAGAGACTAACGGCGTAGACGGCACGCCTCCAGAAAACCCCACGATCCGCAAGAGTTTAGCCGCCATGCTAACGCCGTACATCTCAAGGAAGCTGGGAACGGGAGCCCCCGCAGAGGTCAGTGGAACACGTTGTCTGTGGTTTTACACATCCCCAAAAACTGAACAGAATCCATCATTTTCTCTTGTTCTTTTCAGGTCTTGAAGCTGCTGAACAGTAACTCAGAGACGCCCTATCTGATCTGGAACAACGGGACACGAGCCGAGCTGCTGGAGTTCCTCGAGGCTCAACAGGAGGGAAACATCAAACGAGTAAAAATAAAGACTCCTCACTGCTTTTAAAGTTGAAACACTTTCAGGCACAGTTATTTACTCAGCTGCTTTATGGCTTCTTTACAGGGGGAGAACGATAAGCATTTTGGTGCAGATTTTATCTTCAGTGATCACAGCAAAGAGCTCATAGTTGGGGAGATTTTTGTCAGAGTTTACAACGAGCAACCTTCTTTCCCTCTGGAAGTGAGTACTACAACCCTGTTTGTTGTTTTCAGTATGAACCATAAAAAACTGAAACTAAACTGAGCGTTTCCATCTCTGTGTTTAGTACCCCAAAGCGTTTGCTGCCAGTCTGCTGGACTATGTGGGCTCCCAGGCTCAGTACCTGCACACTCTGCTGGCCATGAGTCAGAGCAACAAGGTGGAGTCGCAGCAGCATGCAGAGAGACTCCGCTTTGCTGAGATGGCTTTAGAAGCTCTCCGTAACGTCATCAAGAACAACCCCGGTGAGACATGACACTGATGAACGCCGCCTTTAATCTCAACTTTCCTTTGCTGAACAATTCTTTTCACTGATTTACAGGTTCAGAGTCGGAGTGTATCGGCCATTTCAAGCTGCTCTTCTCTTTGTTACGGGTTCATGGAGCTGGCAGAGTGCAGCAGCTGGTTTTAGAGGTAGAGCTGAACAAACCTTAAAGGGGACATATCATGCAAAATCCACTTTTTAGCCCTTAAATACTTTTTGTTGTGGACTTGGTGTCTCTATGGGTGCAGAAAAGCTTCATTTAGTCTCTCCCAGTGCTGCTTAGATGTCTTTATATTTTATTGGGGTCATACATTTTAATCGATTCAATTTTTAAATTTTCTATGACGTTTTTTAAACAATAACGTCACAGTATTTGCAATCRAACTGCCAAATAAGGTCTGGACTTAACAACTAAACARTTTTATCGTCTTCATTCTCCTCTGGCTCCAACGTGCAAGGCTGGATGGACAACTCTTCCCTTGTTGACGTATTTTGATTAAATATAGTAAATAAAATGTTTCTGCACTGCTGTATAGTCGTAAACCCCTCTAACAAGCTGGAATGAAACGCTCTGAAAGCTGGAGAGATGTGGGCTGTGAAGTGCATCTTTTGGATTTAAAGAGACAGCCTCAAAATGAGTTCATCTGAGACACACCTCAGAAAAAGGGTGGAAGACGGGCTTGTGGAGTTACAATAAAGAGGAATTCAGACCAAAGCATTGCAGCTCTACTTCTATAGACCCCAACTGAATGATTTAAATGTGAAAAAGAAAGATTTAAAAGCATGAAATGTCTCCTTTAATATTATTGTTGTGGGTGCTACAGTCATGCATGTTGATCAAATTTCTTTCTTTCTCAGGTCGTGAATACGGTGACCTCAAACCAAGAGTGTGTGAGCAATATCGCAGATTCCCTGGTGTTGTCCAACCTTTTGTTACTGCTGCATTCCCTTCCCTCCAGTAAGAAGAAAAACAATCACCTTAACGTGTTTTTTCATCATATCTGAGGCTGCTGAATTTTTAGATTAATTTTTATCACTTACTTTAGGCAGGCAAATGGTGCTGGAAACTCTTCATGCTCTGACTTCAAACACAAAGATAGTCAAAGAAGCAATGGCCAAAGGTCAGTAGTTCTGCTTTTTCTGATAATTGGTCGTATCTATCTGAATTTTTGGATTTACAAGTTCTATTTTTTAAACTGTTTGCAGGTGCTCTGATCTATTTGCTGGACTTGTTTTGTAACTGCACACACCCCCAGGTCCGCACTCAGACCGCAGAGCTTTTCTCCAAGATGACCTCAGACAAGCTGGTCGGGCCAAAGGTCAGACTGAAATCATTAGTAAAGCCTCTAAAGGTTTCTCTTCTCGCCACGCTGTCGGCTCAGTTCCCGCTCTCTGTGTTAGGTGCGTCTGACTCTGATGCGTTTCCTCCCGGGTGTATTCATGGACGCCATGCGGGACAATGCCGAGGCGGCAGTGCAGATATTTGAAGGAACGCACGAGAACCCTGAGCTCATCTGGAACGACACCTCRAGGGAGAAAGTGTCCACCACAGTCCGAGAAATGATGCTTGAGTAAGAGTCACATGAGCTCACTCTGATTTATAGATGAACCATCTGAACTGCCCAGAAGATAAGAGTTCAATATTTTTCATAAAATCTTTTTTTAGGCACTTTAAACAGCAGAAGGATAATCCTGATGTAAACTGGAAAGTACGTAGGAACTGTCTGTGAATTATTTTATTAGTATTTTCTATTTGTGCAGCATAAAATGAACTTTTTGGTTTTGGGTTAGTTGCCAGATGACTTCACGGTGGCGTATGGAGCTGGACAGGGCGAGCTGGAAGTTGGTGGAGTTTTCTTGCGTATCTTTATTGCCCAGCCTGGTTGGGTGCTGCGTAAACCTCGAGAGTTTCTGGTGTCTCTCCTGGAGACGCTGAGTGAGCTGCTGGAGAAAAACAACCCCAATGTGAGCTTCCTTAAATTAACCAAAACTTTAATTGTGCCAGGAAACAACTTTTAAAAATCAGTTTTTTCTTTTCTTTCTGGTCTTGACTAACACATGTTGTGTGTTGCAGGGTGAGGCTCTGGAGACTGTTACCACAGCAGCAGTCTGCCTCTTCAGCACCCAAAGCCATCTGGCGGACCAGGTTCCTCCTCTGGGTCACCTGCCTCGCATCCTGGCAGCACTCAACCACAAGAACAACGCTGTGCCTAAGAGCTCCATCCGCCTCATCCACGTGCTGTCAGACAACGAGGTAAGAATCGAAAACACAGAATTTATGCAGTTTTTAGTCTTAAATACACACTAATCTAATCAGCCATCTCTGTGTAACAGCTGTGTGTGCGAGCCATGGCCTCGTTGGAAACGATCGGCCCCCTGGTGGCCGGGATGAAGATTCGAGCCGACATGGCCGGACTGGCTTGTGAAGCTCTCAACCGCATGTTCCAGAAGGAACAGACAGAGCTGGTGGCTCAGGTAATCTGTCAGACTTGTTTTGTTTTCTCCCACCGTGTGTAATTTGGCCATAATAACACTTCCTCTAACCACTCAATAGGCTTTGAAAGTTGAGTTGGTTCCATACCTCCTGAGGTTGCTGGAAGGAATCGGCCTGGAGACGATAGAAAACCCTTCAGCTACGAAGGCCCAGATAGTAAAGGCTATCAAGTCCATGACTCGCAGTCTGCAGTATGGAGAGCAGGTTGGAAGAGGCTATAATTATTTAAAGTGCCTGTGAYGTCAAATTTTTGTAATTCATATGAATGCGTTTTTAGAAAGAGGACATTGATAAAATGTAGCAAAATAAATTTCATGTCACTGAGATGAACAGTTGTTGAGATATTTGCCTGTGAAGAAACAGGAAGTGATGTCAAAGGGGAATGTCTGCATGTGAACAGAGCATTGTTACAACAGCCAACAACCCAGACTGGAGAGAAGAATCTGATGTTAAGATTATTTTGAGTCTCTATCAGAGAGATGAAGAAGAGTCAGAGTTCAAATAATATTGTTTCAATAAACAAAGACCAGGGTTTTCTTAGTTAAAGAGTTCCCCTTTGATGTCACTTCCTGTTTCACTTTGGCTGAGCCAAGTTCAAAAGAAAATATGCCAGTTATGGGACAAAATGGGTTAAATCATGTGTTTTATTCCAACTTTTTTAAATATAAAGATGTTTTCTTTGACTTTTTGTGTTTGAAGAATATGCATGTCACAGGCACTTWAATGTTCAGCAATAATCTTGTTGATAYATTTGTTTTTAAGAATCAATTTGCAAACATTTTCGTATTGCTTATTTGTAGGTGAATGAAATTCTTGCCAAGTCCTCGATCTGGAGTGCCTTCAAAGACCAGAAACATGATCTCTTCATCTCAGAGTCTCAAACTGCAGGCTACCTGACAGGTAAAGTGTTGCTTTAACCAAAGTACTAACTAATTAACATTTAAACAAGCAAATTTTATACATATTGTTGAGCACTTTTAAGGTAAGTCTTCATGGTTTTTCTCTGAGCCGTTGATGAATCCTACTGCTTTGCTTGACCCTGAAATAAAATCACTTGGCTGATTCCTAACTTGAGCTGAAACCCAGCAACCCTTCTTCTTCTCCACGTCCTTTAACTTCCTTGCTCGCTGCCCTTCCTCTTTGTCCTCTACATTTCCTCCTCAGGGGTTTCCACTCCTTCTCTCCTGGCTGCCAGCAGTCCTTTGCGAGGTGGGCTCTAGACTCCAGAGGTGGGCCCTCATAGCCCTCCTCTTTGTTGCTCTAAAGCAGGTAGACTCTGGTCTGACTCCTCCCATTCTATTCCTCTTCACCTCCTCTCAGCGTTCCATTTTTCCATTCTCACATCTTCATCTCACAGCGCTAAACAAGTCATTCCCTCTTCATTAATTCATTTATGTTCTGGTCAGGAAAGTGCCTTAAAAATTCAAATTTTATGAAAGGATTTTCATTTTAGTTGCATTTTATTGTAAGAATACTACATTAGTTCAGCATAGTCAGACTTTCTGTGCATTTGTTTGCTCAACATTAGGTATAAAGATTTGTAGTTATCAGTGGAGCTTTGTTTACTTGAACCCTGTCAGTTTACATAATTTTGGTGAATAATTTAAAACATGAATGTGACAATAAAAAACACATAACCTGCCAATAAGGAGTTTATGGACTCAACCTATGTTGACATGAGTAACAGACATTAATGTCATATAAAAAAGCATAAATGCTCCTTTAAGCATAAATACCTGCTAACATTTGTCTTGTTTTGCCTTCTATATAATAGAAAAGGTGTTTCTGACTATTTTAAACTAAATGATAAGAATTTTTGACTTTACACTGCAGCTCAACAAGCAGAGATATTTCCTCACTTTGTGTTTCACTGTTACAAACTGCTAACCAAGGTGTACTAACAGTCATAAAACACTAATATGAACATTAAGCTTTATATCATCGTAGCTCACAGTTGGCGCTTCCATCTGTTGTTGTAAATCCCATCTGAGCTCCGTCCTCTTCTGACCCGTAGGTCCAGGAGTTGCAGGTTACCTCACAGCAGGAACTGGCACCACAGTATTGTCCAGCGTCCCACCCCCCGTGGACAACGACATTGGAGACCAAGGCTGAAGGACCACCGGTCATGCTACGGCACCCAGACTGCCCCCCGCAGTTTCACCGCCACAGCTCAGAGAGGGTCTGTTCAGCTCCCCAGAAGAGAGTGGGGGGGGGGTTGAAGAGAGAAGACCAGGGAGACCAGACCATCAGTCTGTCACCAAGTTGTCTGCGACACTTCTACGGCGTCACTCTCCTTTCCTCTGTTTTCAAACAGCAATGAAGTCTTCAAAAATGCTTTGTTTTAACAAATGACCATAATTTTTTTTGTTTGTTTCTTTGAATGACAGAAAAAGTTTACTTTTTGTATGAATATATTTTTTACTCTAGATTTTTTTTGTTTGTTTGTTTATATGAGAACAATGTGGAAGGACCAGGACTTGTTGAGGACGTTGTCTCCACTCAGTCTGTTCCTGATTATTTTCATGATTCATCTGAAGACTTGACCTGGTCTCAGAATATTTGGCATTTGTGCACTTGACCTGTTCCCCTTTATATAAACATGTCTTTCCATGTCCGTGTAATGAATTCTAACTCTGGGTGGAAAGTACAAAGGAGATGAGAAGATGAATACACAATTACTCTGTCCCATTTCATCACAAAACAAAGTTGCTTTAATGCTCAAACTAAGGTGGATTTTTCTGGTTTTGTCAGATTTACAGTCTTTTATTCCTCAAATCTTCCATTCTTCTCTCTGTTACCCTCTCTGACAGATAGTCTCATTTGCTGCCTAAAATGTTTTAAGTAGTTCTCTCCCCAGAATGCAAAAAGCACTAGAGTATTTATAAGTGGTGGAAAAAAGAAATTGGCACAGAAAATGAGCTTCTTCTGACATGACGAATGACTTTGATTATAAATCTATGTGAAAGACTAGTGCAATTTGTGAAATGTTCAATGTAATATTGCGTATATAAACTTTCTATATTGAATGTACATTTAAAAAGAAAATCAGTCACAGTTGTACATAAATTTTAAAAAATAAAAGGGAATCCAAAGTTGTTTTTTGTGTTTTGYATTTGATTAACAATATTTGATTGATAAAGGAAATGGTTTTCAGAGTGGCTCGCTCACAAGTAAGAATCACTTTTCTAATCTGTCATAGCAGAAAATGTACTTTCACATTCTCTAAAGGTGAACTAATCACAGCCAAAGTTATCTTTTCATGATGATAGTGTTTGAAAGAAGTATCACTATTATGAGAGACAATGGGTGTATACAAATAGATTTAGACATAAAGGCTAATTTTCATCTGCAGGCTGATTATGTCCACTTAGCAATGAATGAACAAGAACACAATTGGGACAAAAGCAATCAAATGATAAAATCAGGTAAAGTAATGTGAGGAAAAGGTTCATACAAATCTTGCTACAGTAAAAATAATATCTAGAATTAATAGAATTCACAAAWTTTTTCACAAACTTAAAAAATAATTTTTCGTGTAAAAATATTTTATATACCCAGTTGTGAATGATCAAATAATAAATGATTATTTTTAGAATGCAGAAATCTTTAAATGATTTAGATCTATTAATATAACTTTAAAATAAAGGATTGTATTCGTGTATCTTTGAGACTCTCCAGTGTTGTTGAATGCGGTCAGTTTTGGCAGCTGCTTGATTCCAGTCGGACAGATTAGCGGGTTGAACAGGAAGTTGCACGAAAGGCGCGAACCGTGTAAACAATACTTAAAAGCCTTATATGAACTGCTTGTCATTAGAAGATATGAATCAATTTATTTTACCTTGTTGATGGTGCTGTCTTTAGGATTTCGATCATTTGACTCGTTTTTTGAAACATTTTAAACTTCTAACCGGATGTTGCCCTTTCGCTGTGCTGTGGCTGTCTAAAAACTGAACTGTTACTGTACGCCTGTTTGTGATGAATATCGATGGTATAATCCTGCATTCTACCAGTGAATATAGGATGTTTTTATCTGCACTTTCGGCTTGAGTCAGTCAATAAGAGGTAAGTAAATGTCGTTTTACTGTTTTGTTTATTTGAAGTCAGACTTTCATTTTACTGATGTACGGTAAGCTAATTAAGCTTTAGGTTTCTCACTCAAAATTTTTCTTATCTGTAAACAAAATTGAAAATACTGTATTTTGTGGATATTGCTGAAGAGACATTGCACGCATGTTGTCTTCTCTCTTATTCTTCTAGTTCAACATGTGTAAAGAAGACAAGGAAGCCTTTATTGTGAAATTTGTGGAAAGTGGAGGTTCACAAACAGAGTATGCTGTCAAAGCATATGAGGTAAACGACTGGCTAAATGTTTATTCATGTTAAAGTTTTTATTTCTTTAGGCCTTACATTTGTGTCACATTTCTACAGGCCATTTTGGAGCTGCAGTCTGAAAAGTTTATAAAAAACATCAAGGAGGAAGATGTGTTACAGATGGAGCAGAAGGACAAGTCTCTGTTTGTGTTCAGTAGCTTCACCTCTTCAGCTTTCCTGCACTGCAAGAAGGTCAGAGTCAGTTTTGTCACACCAAAATTCATAATAATTGGAATTATTATAATTAGGGATGTCCCGATACCACTTTTTCACTTCCGATACGATACCGATATTACAACTTTGAGAATTGTCCGATACCGATATTGACCCGTTACCATAAGAGTACAAGTCACACACTTTTACCTATTTTGTAGTGTAAAATCTTAGAAAAGTCTTGATCAAGTCAAACAGTGAAAAAGTGTAGGTATGAGAAAAACTGACCCATTTATTTTTAACCAATGGATCACATACCTTTTAAACTCAAGAACATTATACAATTTAATATAATAAATTATAATACCCTGAAAAATAAAACATAATAAAAAACAAAATGTTCTTTTAAAGTATAAAATAACAATTCAAAATCACTTCAGTTATTGTTTTACTACCTGTCAGCCTGGTGCTGCTTTATGGTGGAAAAAACTGAAGGTGGGGACAAAACAAAACCCCACATTATTGTCTGTTCAAAGTTAAGAGTCCACAGCTCCAATTTTACTGACTGTAGCTAAAACAACGTGATCATTGCRCTTAATCTTCACTCAAACAAGTGTGTAAACAGATTAAACATCACTCTAATAACAAGAGCAAAAATAAATAGTAAGAATTAGTCAGTTATTTAAATTGATAGTGACCTTTCTTACGGCTGCATTTTCTGAGCATCATGTGGAGATCAGCCTCTCKCTCCTGCAGGGARCAGTTTTTATCACTGCTCTTGTCATGTCGCGCTCATATTTCAAAACAAAAGCTGCGCTCTCCTTTCTTCTGTCCATCGACCCAGAGCTAATCCACGGGATGTCAAAACTGTAAGCGTGCTGTCCTYGCTTCTGCCAGCTTAGAACCACCGACCGGACCAGAGAGGAGGTTCTGAAACAGCGCGGCTGTGYGCGGTCACTGGACTGAGGCTGAACGAGCCAAACCGCAAAGCTGCTGCCAGGGTGGAGAGTGGTTGTCACTCCGGTTTAAAACGTTCACGGTTCTGTGTTCCCCCTCGGAAAACTTGTGCGTGACAACTTTRCACTTAGCTGCAACTCTGTTTCTGATGAAAATAGAAAGTTCTGCTGCCGATATTCTTGCTAACTTGTTCGCGCAGTATGTTGTTGTGATCACGTGAGCGCTACATGCTGGATCTGCTGGATAGAAACACTGGAGCGGAGTCCGTGAACTGCTGGAACGGACTGCTAATATCGGAGCGCTTATATCGGACATTTTTTATGCAGDSYGATAAAATCCGATACTCATTTTTTGGCTGATATCGGACCGATATCAATATTGGATTGGGACACCCCTAATTATAATTGTTTGCGATTAACACTTCTCATTGTTTTAAATTGTGTCTCAGCTTGGCTGCAGAATAGTGAGCCCACTGGTGGTGTTGTACTGCCTCCAGAATCAGCGTTGTGTCCCCAAAGCAGAGAAACCTGTGTATAATATGGCGATGGCTGATATAACCATTTCCTGCACTAGCCTGGACAAAGCAGCACGGGTTAGTCCTAAAGACTCGATTCTTACTAATCATAGATCTAGGAAATGTCACAAGGATAAATCACGAGGCAATGCGATAAGCATACATGCTTACATGTGTGTTTGTTTCTGCAGGCAGAGGTGATGGATTTGGTGCAACTCATGGGTGGACGAGTCTATCTTGATCTTAATGTGTCTGTCACCCACCTGATTGCAGGAGAAGTAGGAAGCAAAAAATACCTGGTGGCTGCCAGCCTGGGTAAACCCATCTTGCTGCCCACATGGGTCAAAGCTTGCTGGGAGAAATCACAAGACAGGTACGCAGTTCAGTGCACCTGGTTGCTTCACTGAAGGAAATGATGCACAATGTTTTCAGTTGCTTGGGAAAAATATTACGGCTGAACATTAAATACCCACACGCTAACCTTTGCCGTGTAAATTACTAATGTAAACCCAAGTTATTACAGCAAATAAAAATAATACATTTTAAGGGTGAAAAGACTCCACCTTTTTTCAGTCTTTTCAGGTACACAGACTTGCCCGTGGAGGACTATCTGTGCCCCGTGTTGCTTGGCTGTACTGTTTGTGTGACGGGCCTCTCCAGCACAGAACGCAAAGAGGTGCAAAGACTCTGCGAGCAGCACGGAGCCAAATACACCGGCCAGCTCAAAATGAATGAGTGCACACATCTTATAGTCAGTGAACCAACAGGTCAGTCTCTAACCATGTTGAGAAACTGGTTAATATTTTGTTCCAATAAAAAATAAACTGTTACATTAAAGTCAATAGTAGAACAAACTCTTTTATTTTAGCTGTGTTATTTAATGGCTTGCTCTGAGAGGATTCATCATGTTGCAGGCCAGAAGTACGAGTGCGCCGTGAAGTGGAATGTGTACTGTGTGTCTCTACACTGGCTTTTTGACAGCATAGAGAAGGGATTCTGTCAGGATGAAAGCAGGTACACTGTGGCGCGCAAGGCGTCAAAAAACACGAGGCAGCACACGTCCACCCCCACCAACACCAGCAAGAGGCAAGGTAAGCTGCGAACGTAGCATGTGTCTTTTTTTCACAGCTTACAGGCTTTTATCACAATGCTGAGTAACTTAAGAGATTTTTTAAATATTTTGTCTGTAGATGGTCCATCTCTGTTGGGCCTGAGCAACATTTCTGTCAGCATTAACATGGGAGTAAATGACACCGCCCTCACWAATACGACCATGAGCCGTGTGGAGACGCCAGACCCCATCGACAATCTGGATCTCACCGTTTGCCCAAAAGATGATGTTTTAGACGGCTGTAAGGTAAACGAGTTCACTGTTTCCAACATTTACYGTCCATATTGCTGTAAAAACGATTGTTCTTATCATTTAGAGTTTTTTTTGTTGTTGTTGCGCAGCTGTGTTTATGTGGTCTCTCGGCGAAGAAGCTGGAGAAGCTGCGGCGACTTGTAAACGCTGCAGGAGGTCTGCGCTTCAACCAGCCCAGTGAGGAACTCACTCATGTGGTGATGGGAGAGCTGGACCAGGAGCTGCAACATTTTCTCTCCAAAGCCACTCATAGGTTTGAACTAAAGAGAATCATATTTTGTGTGCGTTTACTAGAATTATATGTTTGGTTGAAGATGGGYAATATTTTGACTTTTTGAATCATTACAGTTTTTAAATTACTGGATTTCAAGTTTTCACCAAACATCAATTTGTGTCAAGTTAGAGTTAATTGAAGTGTTTGCATTAGAAACCAAAAGCATATGATGATTGAATCAGTTCAGTTCAGTTCACTACCTTTATTGCCCCCCCAAAGAGGGAAATTTGATTTGCAGCCAGGCATTTCCAACATACAAACAAACACAACATATAATACATAGACAATGTTGAAGCATACAAGCAGCAATTTATAAAGGTTTAAATAAATTTTAAAACTATAAATTTAGAAATTRAAACATCTGATTACTCTGGGTACAAAGGAGTTCTACCATCTCTTATCCTGGAAAATCTAAACCTCCGTTTTTGCAGCCAGGGATTCCTAACTTAGACAAGTGGAAAGCATACAAACATAAAAAAGCAGCCATCCGTAAATTTTATAGATAAGATTTAAAAACTACAAGTTCAGAAAATTTAAAACTACGAGTTTAGAGGTCTGATTGCAGTGGGTACAAAGGAGTTCTTCCATCTGTTACTTTTAATCCTGGGAAGCCTGAACCTCCGGCTGGAGGGAAGAAGCAGRATTTTCGTGTTTAAAGGGTGTTCTGAGCAGTGTAGGATAAGCCTTGCTTTTTGGGCAACACGACAAATAAAAATATCATTAAGGAGGGATTGGGTTACCCTGATAATTTTGTTTGCCGCAAAAACAATTTTGTTTAAGCAGTTTTTGTTCTGAACACTTAGATTTCCAAACCAAGCAACTATAGAAAAAAGTTAAAACAGATTCAATAAAAGGCTGATAAAAAGGCTCATGATTCTTCTGTTTACACTAAAAGAGTTCAACTTCCTTAAAAGGTATAGACTTTGCTGTCCCTTTTTTGCAGATAAAATCAGTGTTCAAATCAAAAGCTAACTTATCAATTATTGATCCCAGGTATTTGTAGCTTGCAACAGACTCAATTTCTGTGTTGTTAATAAATACTGAGGATGGAGGCTGAGGAGAACGCACCACTGAACAAAGTCATTAATAATTTTGTCTAATAACGTTAATAACGTCTTCCACATCCTGCAACAAACTAACGATCACTGTGTCATCAGCAAATTTCAGGATGTGTCTGTTTGGATAGATGCTTCTACAGTCATTAGTATAGAGGGCAAACAGGAGGGGGGACAATACACAGCCCTGTGGAGAACCCTTAGAAGAAAGAAGAGATGTAGATAAATGATTGTTTACTTTCACCTGCTGGGGTCTGTGCATTAAAAAGTCCAAAATCGAGGCTGCTAAACCAGGACCAATGCTAAACTGAGTTAAAAGTTTATGTAGCAAATTTAGAGGTTTTATTGTAAAGGCAGATGAGAAGTCCACAAACAGGAGTCTTGCATGAGTCTTAGAGTCTTCCAGATGTTTATGTAGTAAATTCAACAGAGTGATGATAGCATCTTCCACACCCGTCTGTTCTATATGCACACTGCATCAGATCCAGGTATTTCTCGACTTGAAGCAATAGTTCCTTTTTTAATAATCCTTTCAAATGCCTTCATTACTAATGATGTTAAAGCTATGGGACGGAAATCTAAGGGATGCTTTAAACTGGGTCTAAGGGATCTGGGGTCGGATTTATATAACTGGCGTATGCACAATTTGAGCCCAGAAACTTGCGTACGCCACTTTTTACGCTAAGGTTGTGATTTATAAAATCCAAACTTGACATGAAAATATGCGGTGCCTCACGCCAGCTCTGACCCATGCATACGCTCATTTTGGAGACGTGAAACTGCGACACAGATGGTGAAGTGAAGAATTATAGCCACACTGTGTAATGATCACTGTCAGATATTTAATTTACCTTCATCAGACTTAGATTTTTATTCAACTTTATCATCAGCTTTCTTAACAGTAATATTTATGCTTCTGCTGCTGAGCCATGAGGACCTTTGAAATAAAAAAACTTAAATCTTAAATAAAAGTTCCCGTGTGCAACTCCATTCATCTGCTTCCTCCTCAGACGACCCTGACCCACAGACCCCTCCCTGACCCACAGACCCGTCCACGACAAGAGCAGCAGGACAGCAAAAGCTTTGGATACACGCGCAGGGCGCATCCACCTCGCCAGTGTGAATGTTAAACCTTCACGTTTACAGTCCGTGTTTGTCACGGATAACGTGTCTGCTGCGGATAACAGAGCAGGCAGGAGGGGGAGAGGACAAGGAGAAGAGCGGTGGACTTATTTCTAATTTTATCTGACTTATTTAATTTAATTTTTATTGCTTTTATCATCCTGCAGGCTCTGATGGAAAATTAATTTGAAGCTGAGGTTGTTTTTTTTTTTTTAATAAAAATTGTTAGATTACTCTAAAGCAAAATGAGGGAAAATCTGTGTCAATTACAGACAATCTGTTCACGTGAGCAGCTGTCAGTCAGCACCTGTCATCCTCCAGACACATGACGGAGCGTGTCTGAACCAATCACTTTTGTTGGCATTGATCAGCCAACTGATTTAAATACATCTAAACATTCATGATGTACTTTACATTGACTGTTTATGGTTGAATGTGGGCGTGTAGAGGGTAGAACCTGAGGCGGGACCTCGTGCGCAAACTCTGACGTGCRGCTGTGATTTATAAAGGAAAGGTGCGCAGAAACGCGTACGCATTGTTTTATAAATCTGWATTTTTTTGGCGTACGCCATTTCCGCCTTTTGGCCGTACGTTCACTTTTAGTATGGTTTCCACGGGGCCATAAGAAAGCAGGATGTCAAATGTCTCATGCATCTATTCAGGACCTTATGGGTCATCAGTAAAACGTTATACTCCATTATAAAACAAACAAGGAGTGATGTTCACACTTTTTTGTTTGTGCTAAAATATGAGCTGCAGTGTTTTGAACTAATTGCAGTCATGAGAGATCAGCCAACGCACAGAGAGTTCCAGTTGGGATGTAATAAAAACGTGAACGACCCGTTCAAAGTCATTAAAAGATAAACACGATTTCACTTTAGATAAAAGCCTCAATTAAAAAAAATAATCTCTAAATCTGTCTTTAAAAAATCTCCCAATGGGAGGGGAGTGAGATTATGAATGCAGCTGCACAACAGAGCACCTCACGCAGTTTGAAGCATGAAACTCCACTCTCTCCAGTTTTGAGTTGAGAAAACTCACGAGGTGGGAAGCGGGACACCTTAAACCACAGAGTAGAGGTCCAGTTTTGTTTGGTTTATTGTTTGTCACTGATGGTTTGKGTGCATGTGACCCCTCAGGCCCCATGTAGTGACGGTGCAGTGGCTGCTGGACAGCATCTCCAAAGGCAGCCTACTCCCAGAAGAAGGATACCTCCACCCTCACTGCCTTCCTCCCGCTGCAGCCGCTGCATCCACGCTGGCTCCTCACCCTCTGAAGTCCCGACCCTCAGCCGGTCCACTCGTTTCCAGCCCGAGAACTCCCAGAGGAAAGACAGCAGAGGAAGATCTCCTCTCACAGTACATGGATGATGACCCTACAGTGGGTAAGAGTCTGTCGYTCCTGCCTCTGTATAATCCCCAGAATGATATATAATATTTCAGTGGAGTTTAAAAATATATCTTGTGTTTTTTTATCTTTAAGTCGATATGCCACCACCAGCAGCTGAAAGCCACAGCAGGAAGTCCATCAGCGCAGCTGCAGAGCCACAAACCGAGTCCTGGGCACCCGACCACACCAGAGGACCAGAACAAGACTCAGCCCTGCAGGAAACCCTGTTTTCTGGCAAAACGTTCCTCCTCGTGGGTTTTGGTGCTGAAGCCGAGGCACAGCTCTCGATGCTGGCGATTCAACAGGGAGGAAAGGTGCTGACGGGCAGCACTCGAGTGGTGGCCGACTACGCCGTGGTTCCTCTGTTGGGCTGCCCAGTGGAGGCCACGGTGGATGAGGTCGTCACTGACACCTGGCTGGTAGGACCACTTTTGTTAAAAAAAAAGGGTTGGTGTGACATTGAGGCAACATACTTAGAATTTTCTTTTTTGATTTCAGGCCATGTGTGTGGAGAAAGAATGCCTTTTGGAGCCGTCCTCTAACCCCTTGTACACCCCTGTTCCTGTGAGGGAGGGGCATTTTCCTCTCAAAGATTGCATCCTCTCAGTCAGCCAGTTCACCGGAGCAGAGAGGGAGTCTTTGGTGGATCTGGCCAAGCACCTCGGAGCCAAGTATACCTCTTCTATACCTGCAAAACAGGCATTATTTGAATACTGTATCTGTGCTTTTTCAGTTTTAATATCTACTACTATTTAAAGGGATCCATGATTAGTTGTAACATTAGATTTTATTTAATAAACATATGTTTTAACTGTAAAATGAAGACTGTAAAAATACTGTAGGATGTTCAGCAAGATTAACCTTCAGGGTTTATATAGCTCGCTCACACTGAGGACCTATCCACGTCATCATTTACCCAGAATGCTTTGCGTGTAAATAAAATGTCCCCTTCAGTGTGATAGTTTTAAACTTTTTGTTTAAAAATTATAAGCTCCATCATATAGTATTAAACATCTTAT